CTCAAAAATCACAGGCTGACGCCTTACAACAAGAGATTGGGCTTCTGATGGGAGTCAGTCATCCGAATCTTCTATGTCTCAAAGATACATTCGATGAGAGTGATGGGGTATATCTTGTACTCGAACTTGCCTCGGAAGGAGAGCTTTTCAACCTGATCGTCAGCAAACAAAGGTTCTCGGAAACGGAGACTCGCCATATTTTCATCCAAATATTTGAAGGTCTAAAGTACTTGGTATGTGTCAGATGGACCGTTGTTTTATCATTCCTGGGTTAGCTGATGATCCATCCGTGTTAGCACGATCGTGGTATCGTTCACCGAGACATCAAACCAGAGAATATTCTCATTGCAGATCAAAGATTGACAGTAAAGCTTGGAGATTTTGGACTGGCCAAGATAATTGGTGAAGATTCATTCACAACTACTCTGTATGTCGTACATACAATATGTGATTTTGATAAGCATATTTGCTAATCTCCAGTTCTTGTCTTACAGATGCGGGACGCCAAGCTGTAAGATACCCAGATACCCAGTTCCTCATCTCTCACTTCGAAATTCAAGCTCACTCTCTAGATGTCGCGCCCGAGATACTGCAGGAGTCTCGTCGGCGGAAGTACACTAAAGCAGTTGACATTTGGTCACTTGGGGTAGTTCTCTACATATGCCTCTGCGGCTTTCCGCCATTTTCCGACGAACTCTACACCCCGGAAAATCCTTACACCCTTGCACAACAAATCAAAATGGGTCGTTTCGACTACCCATCACCATATTGGGATTCTGTCGGGGATCCGGCCTTGGATCTGATTGATAAGATGCTCACGGTCGATGTTGACAAGCGCATAACTGTCGACGAATGCTTGGAACATCCATGGCTTACACAAACTTACCCTAGTTTATCCGACAGTACGGATGGGCTGACCGGCGCATTGGATAAATTGGACTTTTCCAAGCGTAAACTCGCGCGCGAAAGAACGCTCCTCAGTCATATCAATGATGTCAGTTTCAACGAGTGCAAGGAGCGCAACGGTGCTACCGTGCGGGTTTTCCACAATAGCCATATTGGGAAACGTATTCACAATCACCCTGCCAAGGTTATCAAGGGTGGAGAGGCCTGCGACAACAACAGCGCACCTAAAGACTTCATCAATCTTGGGGAGCAGGGAGATCCACTACTATTTACGGATGAAACAGGGCCCAGTCATGAATAAAGGTAATTGTTCTGTGGCGTTTATCTCAGCTCCCTCATGTTTCAAATCAAAGTCCTCCTGCATACAGGATTACGATCCAATGCTTACATATTGCTTCTGTGAAAGCTTGTAGCTGTCACAGAATGCTGCAAATTAGTTAATTCCTTGATAGTCATTTCCGACTGGTAATTTCTCGCATGAAACCCCCTCTTATAAGAGCCTTAATCTCTTCATGTAGCAAGAAATTTACCGCAGTGGACCTGGTAGAAATTCGCTTGTACGTATGGATCATTGTTTGAGCCAGGGCCTGTCAGCATAGGTGATCTATCGAGGTCTATTGCCAACAACATCCTTTGCAAATAGGTTAACATGGTTTCTATGGGTAAGATTACAGCCTACACGTATGGCTTGAATTGTTTATTCGCTGGCGGGACTAAGCTATGGTGGTGATCTCAGGAAGGCATAAACTCCCCTCCCTCGAGATGTTCTAGTTTCTATGCAAGGTACAAAGGACTCGCCTGGGATCGAATCTGGAATTTCATGCCTGCCTAAGCAGCAACTACCAAAGACCTGCCTTGCCTCTGTCTCTTAGGTACGTGAGGAGTTTAGCACTAGTGTACTACATACGTATGACGTAGTATAACTGTTCCAGTTACAAGAATGAGCGAGGGGCTCTTTGGCCCGCCCCCACGCGATCTGTAGTGCTGGGTTCGAGGTGAGTCGCCGGCCCAGCCTACGGCATGGGGCTTCGGCGACAGTAGAATGGCTGCGGCATCTGCCGCAGCAGCAGAATAAGGCGGTGAAAAGGGTTAAGAACCGAACCAGAGGCCAAGTGGAAGTAGTTATTCTTTACCTAGTCACTGCCCCGATAAGTCAGGGGTACCACTGGTGTTAAACCCTCTTCAGTAGGCGGTATGGTTGGTTGGCTTTCTAATCTAATAGGAATACTGGTGGTATTGGAATGACGGCTGGTGTCAATAGTGACTATTACACACGCAGCAAATGTTAATACAAGATCAGTCATGATCTCACCTTAACTACCAACGGCTTAATTAGTAAGGGGAACGCGTTAAATAAGTTAAAGACACCTCGTAAGATTCCAAAACCACCTGGCTAAGGCTTTCAATAACTTAGTCTATCCTGGCAGTATTAAAATAAAGCTTTTTAATACTGCTGTGTAGTATATGTTATCTATAGCTATACTAGTACAAGTATATTAGTATTCTTAGGACTTTTCTCAGACCGAAGGTATTGCTATCAGGGTCTTTATCGGAGAATATCTTCTATTATCTTTTTAGTAAGATTTCTTAGAGTTGAGACAAGTGCTGTAGTTAAAAAAAAGTTATATAATTAGTAGCTGCACGAATAGAAATCTAGCATTGCTTATACAATAGACACTTCTAATGTATTCCCTGTCTTACCGCTTTATGGGCAAAGGCAAGGACGGTGGCTTTGGAACCTCACGAGGTGTCTTTAGCGCGTTCCTTAACTAACTAATTTCCCCTTAGTAAGGTAGTGCTAAGTAACTAAGTTAGTGGCTAATACCATACCCAATCAATACACAACAGATCCCTGTACAGTGGCAGAATCCGCGCTCAAGTCAGGGCTACTTTTTTCTCAGCCACAATCACCCTACACGCTTCTCTTCGCTCAATTCTCACCTTGACATTGCTCAGGATCACCTTCACTACTTCTACCGAGGAAGAGCTCTGAGACCAATCTTCTACTATCTCCGGTTGTAGGGGCCTCCTTATCTGACACACTGCACAATTATCCGGCCCCTGGTTCTGTCTCACAACTGCTAGCACGACGCAGCCATGGGCTTTCTCGCGGTCTTACTCGATACTATATGCAAACATTGCACAGAGTCTTCGAGTCTGGTCATCTTGGGAACAACACTGCTAGCCCTACTTGCTGTATCTATCCTGCTCAATGTCTTGGGCCAACTGCTTTTCAAGAATCCGAAAGAACCACCTGTAGTGTTTCATTGGGTGCCCTTTATTGGCAGTACGATCAGCTATGGCATGGATCCATACAAATTTTTCTTCAAGTGCCGTGAGACGGTATTTTCATAGGTCTTGGTCTTCTGGGTAGTTCATTTGCTAACTCGCCATCAGTACGGTGACATATTCACTTTTGTTCTTCTTGGCAAAAAGACAACTGTCTACCTTGGGACTAAGGGTAATGACTTCATTCTCAATGGCAAGTTAAGGGATGTTTGTGCCGAAGAGGTTTATTCGCCCCTTACTACCCCTGTATTTGGGAGCAATGTTGTGTATGACTGCCCAAATGCCAAATTAATGGAGCAGAAGAAGGTAATCAGACACATCCAGATGAAGACTGTTCTGCCGCTGACAATACGGAAAATAGTTCGTCAAATTCGGCCTCACCTCCGACGCCTTACGCTCCTATGTGCGTCTGATAACCGATGAAGTGGAGGATTTTGTCCAGAATTCCCCGGCTTTCCAGGGTGCTAGCGGTGTCTTTGACGTGTGCAAAATAGTTGCTGAAATCACCATCTATACAGCCTCACGCTCTCTTCAAGGCAAGGAAGTTCGAAGTAGATTTGATTCCACCTTTGCTGAGCTATATCATGACCTCGACATGGGATTTGCGCCAATCAATTTCATGTTACCCTGGGCTCCTCTTCCCCATAACCGGAAACGCGATGCCGCACAGAGGAAAATGACAGAAACATACATGGAAATCATCAAGGCCCGTCGCAATGCTGGAACTGAGAAAGACTCCGAAGACATGGTATGGAACCTGATGTCTTGCGTGTATAAAGATGGCACTCAGGTTCCCGACGAGGAAGTCGCGCACATGATGATTGCTCTTCTCATGGCTGGTCAGCATTCGTCAGCTTCTACGGCTTCCTGGATTGTCCTACACCTTGCAGCACATCCGGGAATCATGGATGAGCTCTTTGCTGAACAACTCCGTGTCCTCGGCCCTGATTTGCCGCCTCTTACATACGAAGGCCTGCAGAAGTTGGATCTTCATGCGAAGGTGATCAAGGAAACATTGCGTATACATGCGCCTATCCATTCAATCATACGTGCGGTGAAGAACCCGATGCCTGTGGACGGAACACCATATGTGATTCCTACATCCCATAATGTTCTCTCATCACCTGGTGTGACGGCAAGGTCTGAGGAGTATTTCGTCAACCCGCTAAAGTGGGATCCTCACCGCTGGGATGAGGACCTTGCGTCTAATGCAGAAGATGAAGAGAAAATTGACTATGGGTATGGTCTTGTTAGCAAGGGCACAAACAGTCCTTACCTTCCATTTGGCGCTGGAAGGCACAGGTGTATTGGTGAACAATTTGCCTATGTACAACTTGGTGCCATAACAGCGGCTTTGGTAAGGTTGTTCAAGTTCCGCAATTTGCCCAATGTAAAGAGTATCCCTGAAACAGACTATTCAGTAAGTCTTCTTATACCCGGACACCTACTTTCTATTTTACTTACTGGGCATAGTCACTTTTCTCGAAACCCGCTGGAAAATCGTTTATACATTTCGAAAAGCGTGCTCCTCCGAAGAATTGATATTACTGCTACTCTTATGCCTCAAAACAAATGATAGCAGATAATAGTAGATGTATATTCTTATTACCTTATTAATAATTATGCAGAACTAATAGAAGACTCTATCTAATATTCATTAGTTAATTATCATGAAATAAGAAACAATCACCGGGCCCGCTGTTAACTGCGGCTAGGAAGCCTATACATATCCTACGAGTCAGAAACACCTTCAAACGTATTGACTACTTGGGCCAAAGCATTGGTTTTTCTGTTCAGTCCATCGTGTACAAGATAGCACGAGTATGATTTATAAAAATAGTGCAACAGCAGTATAACATGAATGCCTATAGTACATGCAGCAAACTTCGGCGCAAGGTTGTAGAAAAACAGGAGGAACAGGTGTACCACAAGCTAATGTGGACTTATTCAAGAATTTCTGGGTTTTTAGATAGTCCCTTTCCGCCTCTCTTCGCTCCTCCGTTTCGCTCTGACTTCCGCACGCCTTCTTTCACCACCATCCACCTTGACTCCAAGTCGATCCTCCCACATACCTTCCTTCAACTCGAATAAAGCTGCGCTGCCTTTGGTGCCCTTGATCGGCTGTAGGAAAGGGCCCCTTATAGTGTTGCCGTGGTGAACTTTCATATATGCGATCTTTTTCGGTGGCTGAGATTGGTTGTGGATATATTCTTTGGCATCTGGTGGCAGGTTGACAACAATCTTCCTCATGCCTGGAGAGGAATTGGCTGCATAATCTGAGAGTCTTGCGGATGTGTGGCTTTCGGCGACATCCTTTGGCTCCTTCGGGACTTCAACCACCCGCAATTGTGCTGTACCATTGACAACGTGCTGCAAGTCACCACCGGGACCGAAGATTCCTCGTCTAAATTTCTCCCTTTTGCGGAGCAAATACCGCCGCTGGCTTGCAGGTTCAATACCCAACTCTTTAAGCTCTTGTGAACTAATGGAAAACAGTTTGTCCCAAGATGGCAGCTTGCTGGTGTGTTTATTCATGCCACGGCCAATTAGTGTAAGGAAAGTCTGGACGTCTGGGACAAATGGTGTTGGCGATGGTATTGCAACAGAAGGCACTTGTTTGTGAAGGTGCCGGAAGCATTGCTTTCCGACGGTAATAGGTCGCATTGCTCGCAAGGAGAAAAGATATGGACTGTGCATCGCCATTGTAGCTGGGCCGATCACTCAGTCCGGTCAGGATATTATGTCGTAAACTTGAGAATAGTAATGATAGGCAACAATCTGAAAATATAACTGAGCTGAGAGATCAAGGTGTTTTATTGAAACTCTAGTCCTTTCTGAAGACTTGCTTGGCAGTTGGTTCTCTTCTCCGGGTCGGGGATAATGAGGAGAAATTTTGGCGGCATCAGTTCCAGCCAGGATCAACATAACTCCGAAACTGCCTTCCTGGAGATCTAGCTCGAGATGCCAGATCCACTGTCATTCAAGAACATAAAATCCCTTGACTTGTGTCCAGTTATCTATCTAGTCAATCTTGACAACAATCTAGACTTTGGTGGGATTTTCTACTAATTCTTTCTTAGAGACAACCGGACGTTGCTACATTGTAGTAACAATGGCTGTTTCTCCTTTGATCCCGAACCCTGCTTCGCATGCAGCCAAAACCACTGATGCGACAAGAGAGTCAGAGGTAAATGGCTCTGAACGCTCACCATACAAGCACAATATGAAATATTCCTCTCATGTTACCAACGAGCGTGAGATTACCGAGCAGTTGAACGATGATGTAAGACACAAGTATATTAAAGGTATGATTTTGTACCTCATTCTCTTGAATGGTTCTATGCATCCTTCCCTGTTGCTTGCATTACTACCTTGTCGCTGTACTTGGCGGTTAATGATGAGCATGGTTGTTTCATAGATAAAAGGCTCGGTGAAGGTACCTATGCTGTTGTTTTCCTCGGTCACCTTCGAACAGATCCGTCCTCGTTCGTCGCCATCAAAAAAATAAAGGTCAATGCAGAATATAAAGATGGACTTTCCATGGACGCCATTCGAGAAGTAAAATACCTGCAAGAGCTTTCACATCTCAACATAATAGCGCTTCACGATGTCTTCTCATCAAAGGATCAAAATCTCAATCTAGTTCTCGAATATCTACCGCGGGGCGATCTCGAGATGCTGATTAAGGATACAAATATTCACTATGGCGTCGCTGATATTAAGGCTTGGATGGGAATGCTCGCCAGAGGGGTCTGGTTCTGTCACGAGAATTTCATATTGCATCGGGATATCAAGCCTAATAACCTCCTCATTGCGGCAGATGGGGAAGTGAAACTCGCGGACTTTGGTTTAGCTAGGTCGTTTGCTGATCCCTACTTGAATATGACCCATCAGGTCATTACACGCTGGTATCGTCCCCCAGAGCTGCTCTTTGGTGCCCGGCAGTACTCGGGGGTTGTCGATATCTGGTCCATGGGCATGGTTTTCGCGGAACTCCTCCTGCGAGTTCCGTTCGTTGCAGGAAATACCGATCTCGATCAAATTACGAAGATATGTGAAGCTTTCGGGACCCCGAATGAGGACAATTGGCCCGGTGTAACCAAACTACCTAATTATCTGCCCGCTGATCCCAACCATGTCGTTCCTCTTCAGGGCCGAGATTTTTTCCTCAGGCAATTTCCGACAGCTGGTCCTGTCGGCGCAGATTTGCTGATGTCCATGTGCAACCTGGATCCTAGGAAGCGAAGCACAGCTTGCAGGGTTTTGCAACACGGCTGGTGGACTACTGATCCTACACCAACCGACAAGAAAAACCTTCCTCGCAAGATCGATGGCGTTAAGAAAATGGGCGCAGACCTGACCAGGCGAGGGGGGGAAATCGAAGATTCAACATTCAAGAATGCGGCTCGACAGCTAAATTTCACTGCGGCCAGAGACTAGCTTACGATTACCGGAACAGACTCGATGAATCGAGGTCATTCCAGGCAAATTTTGAGGAAAGGCATCTACTGTAACGCGCGAGGTCATTTGTCTACCAGTGGGCTAAAGTACCTAAGGTCTATCTACTACAGAAAGCCCAATTTCAGGGGCACACAGTCATGCAGCAGATATAGATCCTATTGCTGTTACCTGGTATTCCGACCACTGGTAAAGTGCATGGAGGGAATTGATAGCGCCAGGATAACAATGAGCTTGTGTTCCTTCCTTCCCCCCTGACAGAGTCGGTGTTTTATAGCTCTCCCATATAATACCACCTGAATCTGGGCTAGCGATTGCGAGGATCTCCATCCGCTGTCAGTCGTGATATCGTCACCAAGTAGCAAAAAAAAAAACCTAAGACAGCGTCCAGCAGCGTTCGACATCGATCTCTGCTGACTATGGATTCTTTCTTCTGCACCTTTTGATTAGATGCTCGCTATGCCGTAGGTAGCGTGGTTTCATTTTTCAAGTCTACGCCTCGTATGGCATCAAAATCCATGCGTGGGGGTATGCATCTTGTCCGGTATATTTTGGCTAGTAGCCGCTTTGGATACTGTAGTGCACTGTACTATACAGAATGAGCCGAAGGGCACCCCTACTTGACAGAGAGAGAAGGGAGACTCATACTAATTACGCGCAGCTGGTAAACAAGCATTTAGACAAGCTGGAGTTTTTACATTCATGTGCTCATGAGCTAAATCAAGACCAAGAATAGTAAGGTAATGGTCGAGCATGATGGAACAAGTCGAGGGCCTTTTCTGGCCAACTCATGGGAAACAGAACCTCCCAGTCTCATGATCCATATATGTCCTCGCCATCTGCAGAAAATAACGAAAAAGCCCCTTGAGAGTGTTAACCGAATGGCATCTGATGCTCAGTCCTGGGTAAAGTACAGAACAGTACAGTACAGTACAGTTCTCACTCACTCGTGTGTACTGTACATACATACTAAAAACACCAAAGTGGTCTATATGTCAGGTGCTTGTCATTGCTTAGTTAACAGTTATAACATAATCGGTAAGCGAGTCGGCTATATAAGCCAGTCGGCCACCTATATATTATATATACAAAGCTGATTTTAATCTTTGAATAGTTCAATAATCTTAGAATATATACTTTAAAAAATCTATAATATATAATTTAAGAACTTACTTTATATAATAAATTAGTTTATTTTCTTTTAAAATCTATTCTTTACCAGTAGTAATTCTCTAATAGAATATTATTTTTGTAAGATATATAAATAGTATATATAAAAGCTTATAAAAATAATTAAAACTTTTTATTCTGTAAGTAAAAAGATTATATATATATAACTTTTAATATTCAGTTTTAAAAAGATTTAATAGAAATTTGTAAAGATAATATAATTTAAAAATCAGCTATTTTATATATAATATATAGGTGGCCGACAGGCTTACATAGCTGACTCGCTTACCAAATACGTTAAGGTGATCAACTGCACCCGACCCACTCTCCACTTTCCCAAAGTAAAGGCGGAAAGTCCAGGGCCGTCCCTTCCTACCTCATCAATACCTCGTAACCAGCCAGGTACGGTACGTGTACAAGGCCCAGGAGTTGGTTAACAACTTAAGAGTCGGCTCCAGGTACCCGTACCGCACCGTGCACCCACCATAGTACTCCGTACCGTGTCCTATCTATCTATGGTACCTCAGCTGACTTCCATGTCAGTTTGCCCTGAGCAAAGGACTTAGGTCTCAAGTCAAGCTTGGTTAGTTAGTTAGTTGGTTATTTAACAAAGTCAAGTTGACTAAGCTAAGGAGCTTAGCAAAGAAGGAGCCTAAGGAGGAAAGCCCTTCTCATTCCGAGGTCCCTGCCATTGGAACCCTCATGGAGTTCAACCCTTTCTGCGCCAACGCTGGCGTTCAAGGGCACCCATGATTATTAGTGCCATTACGATTACCACTGTACGGAGTAGTTAATAGTTACTAGGTAGTTACTCATACTGAATTATGAGTAGATTACTAAATAAATACATTACACATTGCTGCACACCCCTCTCCCCCGCCGCGCGCGCGGTCTAAAACTCACTTAGAGCTCATTAAACATCCCGACTGATCTACAGTCGAACCCAAGTTCTTCTCCGTCCACACTATAATTTCCCGTCCCTCCGCCCCTTATCTGCACATTCATGCTTCTCTTTCCCTACATCGACTATTAGATGGCAACGTACCGATCGATTCATGTTCACTTCATACAACAGTAGTCATCTGGTCTGTCTCAATTTATGCCAATCACCAATACCACATGGTAACAGTTAAGCTCCTGGCAACGTTCAATACCGCCGAGTCGCGGAGCGCGCAAAGGTGTTTTTGAGCACCGCTCGGTAATCCACGGCCGCACTCTGCTGACGGTCCATGTAAGTCCGCATAGTTGCATTTATATCCTGCCCCTTCTGAGCGATGCTATGGTCCTCGAAGATATCTCGAGATTATCTAGGTGTAATCTTGGATCAGATATGTTCATATGGTCCCCGAGCACAGTGTCTCATGTCCAGTCTCTGCCCCATGTTATACAATTTCAGACACTATCATCCTCCTATGTCTCCAGTTTTTCTAATCAAGCCTTGTTCTCCAGGCACTGCTTCCGAACCACCTTGAGTGTGAGATCCAGGGGTCTTTTCAACGTGCATGGACGATACAAGGAATACTTGTTGCAAATCGCCGTCGCTCAAGCCGTGCTCGAAGATTAGAATCGATCGACTAGGGGTCTTGCTTGATTGATGTCGATCGTTGATCGGCCTTTCAAAACGTCCTCATGTCTGAATTACCTCAACCACCCCAGCCCACCGCCAGCTCTCCGGCTCCTCAACTTTCTGCTCCGAGGTCACGAAAGAGCCTAGCAACTTTACCGCATACTCCAAGGACTCTTTCCTCATCCCAAGCTTCCTCGAGGATGCGCGCTCCCTCCAGTCCTAGGTCAAGTTCTAGCAGATCCGTGCTTCATAGTCCAACAACATATGTCGGTCCATCGAAGTCCCTTATCAACACCCGGGTTCCCAGTAGTCCCGACACATCATTGCGAAGAACGGTCAGTATCGCGGCCTTCCCTCAGCCACCTAAAGCTGGAAGTCGCCCTTCGACTGCGTCCTCGATCTCAGGAGTACAAGGTCTACGACCTTCCGGAAGTCTCAAAGAACGGAAAAGCTCCAGACTCAGCACTAGCACGATCAGTAGCTACCGAACCTCTAAGACAACATCCCTCATCCACGGAAACGGGGACTTGAAATCGGCTCTGAGTTGTGAGATACGTGACATAGATGCTTCCCCTCCCCAAAGCAGAAGCTCTTCTGCACAAGGATCTTATTCGACAAGCGCAACCACATATGAGGATGGTGATGATGCAGCCGGCATTTTCAAGTCAATTGTTAGGTCAAAGGAGAACAAGGATACGACAAAGGGAAATGTGATCGTGAGCGTCCGAGTACGACCTGATGGCGGGGGGATGGAAGCAACAAAGACACCTGAATGGACGGTAGATGGGAGGCGAGCAATCATCTCCTTCAATGGGAAAGAAGGTGGCGACTATCTATATGGTATCCATATCTTGCAAACCCCGGACTCGGAGTAATGGTGTGCTGATCCCTACTCCAGATAATGTTTTCTCAGCCAATGAAAACAATGCAAAGGTGTACGACGCTGCTGCAAAGCGTCTCGTGAGGAGAGTAATGGAAGGCTATCACGGTACAGTATTTGCCTATGGCATGACCGGAACGGGCAAGACCTTTTCTATGCAAGGAACCGCAACCTCCCCAGGAGTGATTCCACTGGCGATTACAGACATATTCTCCTTCATCAGAGAAACGCCGCACCGGGAGTTTTTGTTGCGGGTGAGCTACCTTGAAATCTACAATGAGAGGATAAATGATTTGCTTTCAGCGTCAGTGTCCGGTGCGCCGTCCACTGCCCAACAAGAAGAAATCAAGTTACGTGAGGATAGCAAGAGAGGTGTATATGCGACTCCATTAAAAGAAGAAATTGTCCAGAGCCCGACACAACTTCTTCGCGTCATCGCAAGGGGAGATCATGCGAGAAGGACTGGCAGCACCCAATTCAATGCTCGGAGTTCACGAAGCCATGCGGTTGTCCAGATCGTTGTTGAGAGTCGGGAACGAGCACCTGCAGGTTTATCCCAGGATAGGCGGTCAGGTCTGCTGCCTGGGGGGGTTAGGGTGTCCACACTCAGCCTTATCGATCTTGCTGGATCAGAGCGTGCTGCTGATGACAAAGAACGACGAACAGAAGGTGCCCACATTAACAAGAGCTTACTGACTTTGGGCACGATTATCTCCAAACTTTCGGAATCAAAGGAAAAAGCCAGTGGTGCAACTGACAAGGAAGGCAAGCATCTGCCTTATCGCGATAGCAAGCTCACGAGACTGCTGCAGCCGGCTTTGTCAGGAAACTCCTTGGTCAGCATTCTCTGCACGATTCAGCTAGGCAGTCCTACCAAAACGCATGCTGGTGAAACCCTCAATACCTTGAAATTTGCAGCTCGAGCCAAGAATAGCATTGTCAGTCATGCTAAGAGAGCAGAGGAGGCAATCGGAAGTGGTGGCACTGACACAGGGAGTCGGGTTCTTCTAGAACGCTATCGTTTGGAAATCCAGGCTCTCCGTAATCAGCTCGAGTGCCAGACAAAAGCACAGGTTGAGAAAGAACTCAAACTTGAAGAACAGCAGCTAGAAAAGGAAGCGCATGCTCGTCACGAAGAACAAATGTTAGAGATGCAGCTGGCTCGGACAGCGTTAAAGGAGCGTATAGAGCATCTGAATCGCCTTATATTATGTTCTAAGTCAACTGGAGTGAACAACCACGGGGGATTTCCCTCCCTTGGTAGGCTTTCCAGACAATCCGCTTTCGATGCTGGGACGAGATCTCTGCGGTCTTCAGTTAGTCAGTCTACATTGAGCGCCTATGGACAACCGTCAAATCGCCCGATGTCTCTCATTTCGGTCAATAGTTATGATCCCGCAGCCAGTGCACAACTCGCGGGCTCTTTGCCTCATGAAGATGATGAAGAGAATATCGGCGAATTCGCAGATGGGAAGGCAAGTACCCAGCAACAGATTGCGGCCCTTCAAGCTGACCTCAATGACAAAAATCGATACATATCCACGTTGGAGAGGCGGTTGTTGCAAGCACGCCGCTCGAGTCATTCCCGTATATCAATAGGCATGAAGTCTAGCAGTCCAAATGCTGATTTACCTGATGCAATGGCTTTGCTGCGGGAAAAAGACATGGAAATAAATGAACTTCGTCAACAATTGGACGATAAAGATCGAATGCTCACAGCGCTCCGTTCTGCTGCTCGACATCGGGATCTTGCGCACATTGCCATCGATGCCTGTGGGCCTGGAATAAAAGAAACTTTGCCTCCCCGCCACAGTCTCGTGGACAGTGACTATGCCTTGGCCTACACTCCAGATAACAACTTCTCCCCGCGGTTCGAAGGCGCCCCCGACGGGAAGCGGAAGAGTATGGACGAGATGTCTCGAATCCTTGATGAGATGATTCAAGATCGTGTTGAGAGCGGTCAATTGATCAAAGGCTCGCGTGGTAGTGTTCGTGTCGTTACCAGCAGTCGTCGAGCATCGGAATCGGTACCCGGAATAGCGAGTTTGACTACGAGCAAGGCCGATGAACTACGCCCTAGCCAGAGCACTCCAGCTTGACATTTTCGCACTATCATTTTGGAATACCGGAGAACTCTGCTCGCCAGGGTGAGCACCTAGACGCCTCTCGAACAATTTATCAATGACAGAGAGTGCACTGGCCTTGAAGGCCCTTCGGGGATCAGTGCTGTTCTAAAAGCAGAATTGGTCCAACAGCTCCTCGATCTGATCACCTCGTACAACCCTATTTTTAATTCCATCGAATCTCAATTGGTTTTTGACGCGCAGTGAAAGGCCCCGCCATTTGACAAGACGAGTCGCTGCTTATAGATCGAAGAGATCAACGCGTCGCCTTAAGCTTACAGACCCCGCCCCCAGGAATTAATCCTAATTTATGCTCTTGTTGTTCCAAAAACACTATTCAGTGCCATGCACCGAGCTTTTGGGTTTTAGCGGTCGATTTTCCCTTTCCAGGCTACCCCATGTCAATACGATCATAGGAGCTTTGCCTACATGTCGTCAAGGTCGGGTGCTTCTTCTCTCATTCATGTCGCACATGCTTTATGCCCAGTCGCTTCATTACTCTTCTGTTCTCCATCACTTCCAGATACCCATTCTTGTCCCCTTTTCGAAGCGATTCTGGCTTTTGATACATGCTATATTCCATTTATATTATCATCACCACCATCATCATCATCATCATCATCAATTCGAACATAAAGATGTCCAGAGAAAATATAAAATTTCATGATTTAACTAAGGCATCTAGAAGCTATCGACCATTAATTGAGCCAGTTGGCTAAATGTAGAGGCTATACAAGCGATAGCCCAAATCTGCAGGTGTTTACTTGGGATTTGAACCTCACACGTAGTCAATTCTTGTCACTGAGATTCTGGGTTGGTGTGTCCATCATGAAAAACACCAGTACATTGGGCTTTGCTGAAATATCCTGAATATTTCTTTATATATTCACTCTGCTATTACCACACTGCCAGAACTATCATCTTAACACCTTATGCAACAATCTCAATGTCGGATGCTCTATCTTTAGCATAGAAATCTTTCCACTGCTCCCACAGTCTTTCTAATTCCTGCACATACATCGTGTGAAGTAGATCGATGTATTTGTCGTCTACCTTCTCCCTGTCCTTTTGCTGTTTTACCCTGATAGGGCGACCAACCACAATATTCAATGGCCGTCGATACGGCATCAACCCAACATCATAGTTGAAGATACCACGTGCATGAAATAGGGGAATTGTGAAGCCCATCGCACGTTTAACAAGCATCTGAAACTTATGTATGATAGGGTGGTCTTCAGAGCGCACTTGCTCATAAAGGTCATTCTCACCAAATGCTAGTATTGGCACAAGATCAGCTCCTGTACGTATGGCCAACTTGATGAATCCTTTTCTGCGCTTGAGCACAAGGCGCAAAGTGTGGGGAAGAGCATCCAGTGATTCACGGGCACCACCGATGACAATTGTGATGGCACGACCCATTCCTTCACCATCAGTTCCTCCTTTAGTAAGGATATTTTCACATGATTCGCGGGAGACGCTGGCTATGCCCATAGCAAGTGCGTACTCTCTGTAGAACGGAATTCGGAAGTTCGAGTCAAGTGTCAGTAAGGTGTTTGTGATTCCAGGAAAGAGCTCGGAGAACCCAAGAGCCTCGGTAGCAAACGCTGCGAAGGCGCCGTGTGATATGATTCCATGTGGATGATATCCGAAGATATATTTCCTCGTTGGTGGAAGAGGTTCGGATCTATGTAAGCGGGCTGGAAAGTAAGACGCATACAATCTCCAGACACGGAGGGAGCGCAGAAAATTGCAGCGACCGCCCAGGCTGCCTGATGTTGCAGCTGTCGAAAAGAGAGAGATGTAGATCAGATAGGGTATCAGGACTGGCCATGAGAGCGGGATGGCACATGAGAAAAAAAACATCGTCAAAAAGATAGCAATTGTTAAGGTATGGCAGAGAACCACAAACGTCTGTAAGCGTCTTTCAAGGCCGATATTCAATGGTGCCCAACGGATTCTGGTTCTCCAGTCAGTAGGATTTCTTTTCATACAAATGACGAGAACAAATGCCCCCAAGAAGTTTTACTGAAAACATTTACATACCTCCTTTCATGTCCAGCCCTTTTGATGCTTCGGGCATGGTCAGAACCACTATCATTACTGGAAAAGTCATCACGAGTGATCATTATCGGCGACCGCTGCAGAGATGATGGTTGTTGCTGTGCTAGGCTGTCATTCCCAGTCCCAACAGGGGCACAACTCCCAGAATTAGACATCGGTGGCTTAACAGCACGAATTGAGCTTGGTGCTTGTAATTTTGCGAGAGGAATAAGCTGACATATAAGCTCAGTTCGGTGATCGAACTTTGACAATACAAATCTGGAATGAATGTGTTATGAAGCATGGACAGTAAGATCATAACGGCCGGTGACGGTTGGGGTCAACCCACACTAGTAATGATGTAAGTGTCCACCCACTCCCACTATAGACTAGGCCGAGGTATGCGCAGAGTACGGTACGTACTGTACCACATATACGCAGCACTGTCGTTTACAGCACCTTTGATTGCGTGACCTTAGGCACATGTGAATACCACTACAATCAATGGAAAAAACACACAGGAAGCGCCGAAAGAAAATTCTAGCCAATCCGAAGCTACATCAACGGAAGTACATATACTGCCAATCAAAAATCTCCTCTAAGGCTACACTCAGTAGCATCATGATGATAGGAACAGACAACCATTATGAAAATGTGTTGTAGCGGAGCTCGATCGAAGACCAGATCTTGCAGCATCACGCCGAGCGCATGATCATGTTGCCAACAGGCGCGTAGAGATATAATCAGATTGGGTATTTGAGTAGTAGGAGAAATTCTAGACGAGCCTCTACACTACATGAGTCAAGAGGAGACAGGGTCATTCAGATTATGACTTGACCATAAATATCTGAGATTAAACCAGTAAGCATAAGTGACCATGTGATGAGGCAACATTCTTACCTCATTTAGAGATTTCTCATCGAGAAGAGCTCTCTTCTTCTGTGCAATGTGACGGCTTCTGAAAACATGCCTGCCCATCGGACGGCGCTCCCTTGATGGCAGAGACTTTAGTGTCGATGCAGGCATTTCTGTAGGTGAGTCACGATTGGACTCGTCTTTTTGATCCAACGTCTCTGTCTTCGTGTGTTCGAAACCGCTATCTTCTTGTCTTTCTTTGTTCTTCCGTTTCTTGGACATTTTCTTACAGGAGGCCTGGTTGTCTGAGAGTTGTCTTCCACAACTGCCATTATCCTGACCTTGAGTACTGATAGGAGATGCCTTGAGGTCCACAAAATCGGGACTTTCGGGTCCTTTCTGGCCATCAGTAGCAGTCTTGTTAGTCCTGCGCTTCTCAGTGTCTGGCTGGATTTGAGCTGGCTCTTCAAATTCACGGACATCGGCCTTTTCCTGAACCAGATATCCACCACTAATGAAGTTAACTGACTGCCATCTGCTGGCCGCATATCGAGCCAACTTTGCATCCTCACGCCTCTTCTCCTCGATCCCCAGTTCTGCATCTGACTTGCCATTTAAGCGTCCCAGCAAGCCTCTAAACGCATCAAGACCAGTGGGTTCATCTAGTACGTCCCGCCTCGGTCGCGCACCAAGGCCAAGTGTATCATCTTTGATAGTAACGCGGATATGAGACGCGCTTGCTGTGGTGAATAACTCAGCATGTGCAGCATTTCGTGCACCCAGAAAGCTACCCGGGGTCCATCCCTGAGAACTGAGAATCTTGTGCCCGAAGCCAGTTGTTGAGCGCGACCAATTTGTATTGTTAGGATCGTGTGAGATCTTGGATTTCCTAGGCAATGGACATTAGACCAGGTAAGACGAAGAAAGTAGACCCTACCTACTTTCGGGGTGCAGCAAGACCCATTTGCTAGATCAAGATGGTTGCTCGGCCCGGGGGAGGGGGGGTCCTTTTTCTTTGTTTGAAGTATTTGTTCACTGTTGATTGTTGAGAGAAGTACTAACTAAACCACAAGAAAAAGAAAGAAAGAAGAGAGGGAATTAACTTTTTGGAGGGAAAATGTCCTCGGGTGTTTGCAGGGATAAATGGAGAGATTGAAAAGTAATACTCCACACACGATAGGAAAAAAATCTAAATCTCAGGGAGATTAGATGTAAGACTTGGAAAGAGTGTTGACCGCCTACTGACTTAGGGAGCTTCCCCCCACCCGGCCATATCCATATTCCATGGTATAAATACTGCTGGTCACTAGGCTCAGCTCAGCTCCAGGCTCCTCCAGGCTGGAGGCTCCAGCTGGCGCCTGCCTGATAAGGGCAAAGCGCGACACGATAACTGGAAGTGTTCCTCAGATTCCCGATCGGGGAGGCGGTAGCGGAAGCACAAGGGTGCGATAAGCTGTGCTCAGGGGGTTATAGGATTCAACTCTTTTCCGTGCTTAGAGGCCTCCCGGAATATACTTAGCACAACGTGGCCTCTTCTGTATACTAGATTGTGATTCATCTGCTTGCCTCCTTCAATTCGCTCCAAATGTCCTCTTTTCTCTTATTATAAACATAACAAGCCTCTGTCCATCTGAAACATTCTTTAGTGACCCAGACATTAAGGCCAAAGTTAGCCCAAATCAACCGTATTCAGTGGCACTATGGTATGCTATAGATCTATGCAGTGTGGTGTCAAATTGGCATACATATGGTCTTGGATACTGATCTCAAATTGCAGGCTCAAACACCACAGCAGAGAAAGGCCAATGAGAGGTATGCAAAGCATGAAGCCGCGAAGCGTGGCAAAGGAGGGGTGATGGCGAAGCCAAAGCAGAACTCACGGTCTCCAGTATCTACTGGCTGGATTGGTATGTTCCCATTAGCCGCCATGCCAATGATCATCTGGTAGGGCTAAAAAAAGTTGACAGTCATCCTTGCGTTCGTTGTTTGTGGTGGAATATTTCTCGAATTACTGGGGATTGTGCCTCGGTTATGGTCCGCTCTTGTCACGAACTTTAGTCAGTTGCTGCAGTAGGTATAGACACAGCTTGCTACGTTGCAATATCGCATGTTATTATTATCCACGACAAATCGATGGCCACTGTCGAAGCGATTATCTTAGGGGCCTCCGACCCTCAACTTCTTGCTTAATGCTTCGAATGCATTTATGTTACTATTATCCTGCTGCACTGTCCAGCAAGTCAGATTCAATCCTGTATGACCCAGGCCATACACCATACAGCCAAGTGAGGTAGTACCTACTAAGACATCTAGCTACTGGGGTCCGAATCAGTTCTTGGGCCGCTTCTTCTTCTTCTTCTTCTTCTGCTGTTGTCGGTCATTGCTGCCCTTCATTAAACCTGTTTCATCATCAGGCCATCCAGTTCCCTGCATATCATTGACCACAGATTTCGTCTTCTTCTTTTTCTTGACCAATGTTCCCTCCGAAGGAATACCCATTGGCTGCACTCGCTCTGTGGCTCTTTGTAATCTGAGACGAAATTGTTCCACTTCTCGCATTGCCAAAACCATTTCCGCCTCATCTTCGACCCTCCGCACGATTGATTGATTATCCGAGAATGGCCTGTTCTCGCTGAGTTGGGGGTGTTCCAGTCCACTGGAATCGATCTGAAGTAAAGACCGTTTCCATTTGCTAGCTTCACCCGTCCTATTGGCTGCCCCGGCCTCGTCGTCACCTAGCATCTCATCGGGCAGTACATTGTATCGCTTGGGACGTGATCCTATCTTTTTCCGATCGTCAGACTGAGCCATAGACGGCGGCCGATGTCCCCTTCCGGCGTGCAACTGGAGATCGATTATCGGAATCGCATCAACATCCAATTCGCTTTCATTAGAGACGGTGAAAGAGGGATGGTGTGGGCTCAAGATGTCGTAATATCCATCATCCGTCCCAATATAAAAAGGATCATCCCTACTTCGTTCCTTGCCATCCAGCCTTCTAGCGTAGGTGGACGATTCTTCCACCATGATACTCACTGGTTTCTGGTACTGTGTCCCATGAGCTGCGTCAACCGCGACGAAGTCACCAAGTTGCTTGTCAGATGACATGCCTTCCCTACAATAGTAGAACTTGTGGCTGGGCACTTCATACTCTGCTCCGCATGAAGTTCCAAGATCGCTATCGAAGAGATCGCAAAGGCTATGATTGAATGTTTGGTGTAAATGAAGCAGCTCTGGTGTCGTGACTTTCTTCTGAGCGTTCACAGAGACGGGATTCAATTCGAGTCCTTTGAATAGGTTTGGAATGACCGTAGACAAGAGATACGGTACTTCATTCCAGTTGTGCGAGTCGGAATGTACAGCATCTGCTGCCAAGCGCATGACTTCGAGGAATTCGATAGCTCGTTCTTGTACTTCCAGGTCAGGATGCAAACTGAGAGAGTTGAGGAACTCAATGACCCGGGCCAACATTAGAGACATTTCGCTCCTCTTTGTTCGATCCCATGTTCCCTCATCAGGCAGAAATGTATTGAGCAACTTGGGAATGGCTTGCACATAGAGGGATAACATCCTCCCTGGCAAGGAGAAATTGGACATGTCAATCAAGGAAAAAAGGGTTTGACCAGGAGACAGCAAGTGCTCGGCATATTCGCCAACCATCCACGCGAGCGGCCCGAGGATGCCGTTGCTTGCGCCTGGGGCCTTGAGGGAAAGGGATTTCCGATTTGCAAGAGAAAGCAAAGAGGCTGCAGCCCTAGTTGCTTCCGCGCGGGCGTCCTTGACCCGAACGGCCACATTGCGTAGCTCAGAACCAATTCGACCAGTGATATGCGACTGGTGATCCGCATCGTTGCCCGTACGAATATCATGAGGAAGCCCCACATCTTCAACGTCTGGGGGAACAAGTTGCACTAACCGCACCAAGGCGCCGACATACCAGTCAAAATCAGACAAATTCGCATAATTTCCGTAGGAGCATATGTCGACTATCCGATGTAACACCTCAAGTTGGTAATCAAGCGGTAAAGGTATTGTTTTCTTGCGGTTAGCTGAATCACGTCTCATCTCGCGGCCGTCTCCTTCAGAAAGTTCATCATCAATTCCGAGGCGGTCATTCCCGGTAGACTCACGTGAGTTGACCAGCTGCAAGATCAACCGCTCTACTATCGCCTGAAGGTTGTCGCTAGTGACCATCCTGGTTGCAAGATCAAGAGCTTGAAGTCGAATCGAGATGTCCGCATCGTCCAAGCAATACATAATCACATCCTGGTGCATTGAAACCAGCGCGGGATATGCCGATACAATTCTGTTGAAGGCTAGGAGTGCCACATATTTGACTAAACATCCGCCATGTCAGCTTCTATCTCACATCATATGGCAGTAGCACCTACGATTCGGATCCGAATCCGAGACGACCATGCCCCGAAGTTTTTCCACACATAAATCGGCGATTTCGTCTTTCTCTTGAGCACCTTGATCGCTATCGAGTATGCCGCCTTGTATCAGGCCATTGATACATTCGTAGAGTAAAGACATGGCGGTTGTTGTTTGGATTATGTTCACCAAAGGCCGAAGCAGCTTCCGGACTAATCGTGGCTCCAGAGGAGTAAGTGTGGCAAACTAGGACTGTCAGAATACTGATGAGTAATGATACCGAAGGGTCCTTCGTCTTGATGACCCAGACAACGTACAAGCTTTATTATCTTGATAGCCATCCAATTATTGCCACCGTCGACAAGCAATTCGAATAACCTTGGCGCAAGAGGTAGAAAGTCACGAGGTCGTCGCCATCCAAGTTCACATACCACGTTTAGAACAGCTGTAGTGACGCTAGAGTCCTCTGCATCGTCCATGAGGCGTTCCTTGATTTTGGGCCAAGCTAGTTTCAAGGCGTCAGGGTATACAAGAGCCAGCCTATAGAGGCACACAATAGCTTTTTTTCGGACCACAGCATGAGTGTGAGATATCCGAGACAAAACATCTGGTAGCAATGACATGGCAAGGGAGGTAGTGATGATGCTGGGCAATGTGATTAGCGGAAGGGACATATTCGGAATGCTTGATGATACTAAATCCTAAGCGAGAGTTAGATATATATAAGGACTATGGCTCAACAGCGCACATACTTTCTTTAAGAGATTCGTTGCCAGCATTAGTACTTCTGTGTCCGGTCTGAAACTCTGCACGGCACCGAGATATCCAGCTCTTTTCTGTAAATATTTTGCAGATGACATTACTTCGAGCACATGAAAAGATGCCCAGGACATGTCATAGCCGAACATCTCCAAGTATATCAGTTTCAAGAGAGCCGTTGCCTTCTTATCTAGGATATGTTAAAAGCATGGTCCCGCAGATATATATGCTGTGCGTACCCATATCCTGCAATTTGATCTCGGCCTTGCATTCTCGAAGAGACTCCTGTATATATCCATCCTCGTCTCCTTTGTGGCTCCTGAGGCCCTTTATCAGGTCATATAGCGACTTTTCGAACCTTGATACGCTGAGTGTTAGTTGTTTATGTTCTCAACCTGGGGCAGGGTACCGACATTATGCTTCGACGGTGTACAGCATCTGGTGGAAATAAGCGCAACCAAGTTGATACTCTTCTGCGCTATCATGAGCTGTGATTTCAAGCGCGATTCTCTGGTTGAGAACAGCCTAGTATATGTTGCACGTTGACGCATAATCCTTACCGTTCATGAGCGATTACGTCGAGCTGCTCCGTCCAAGTCACGGGAACAGAACTCTACTATCCCCGGTGCGGAGTAGCTCCGCATAATAACGTCTATCCTTGCTCTTCCTTTTTACCTTCTATCTACATTATTCTCGAATTTCTGATTGTCTCCTGCTCACACCAATACAAGTTTAATCTCATCTAGTCTTCTTCATTGATTCCACACAGCGACAGACCCATCATGGCGCATGATACCCCTGAATTGCAGTATGAACACAGTTCGAATCTGATCACTATCTCTCGCCTTTCACAACAAGCGCCTCGAATACTTGCACAGCACTCTCCAAGTGGTGATGGTTCTCTAGTTGCACCATTTCTGAAACCCCAGTATCATGAGTCATATGACTTGTTGGAGCAACTTGCCTTTGCATGCTTACAATCAGGGGATGATAGATCTGCTCTCCTGTGCATTGATAGACTAGCGAGCCGATTCGGTTCTTCGAATGAAAAGGTGACAGCATTACGAGGCTTACACGAAGAAGCTACTGCAGAAGATCGCGCAGCTTTGGAGGAGTGTCTGCACAAATACAACGCTATACTGTCGAGGGACCCGGTCAACCTAGTCTGTGCCTTCCTATATGTTCATGGCACTATCCGAAGCTGATCTACCTAGTAGCCGATTTTAAAACGCCGAGTTGCCCTTCTGCGGTCGCTGTCTAGACCAGTGGAGGCCATTACGGGCTTGATAAGACTTCTGGATGCTGTTCCAACAGATTCGGAGGCGTGGTGTGAACTCGCAGATTTGTATCAATCTCAAGGGTTGAGTTCCCAGGCAGTTTTCAGCCTCGAGGAGGCACTGTTGATTGTGCCGAACGCTTGGAATGTATGATTTTTACTGTCGATAGTGTACACTCACAGAAAGCTGACTCTCGTGTCGCAGGTACATTGCCGGCTAGGAGAAGTCTTGTATTCCTGCGCCAGTTCGACTGACGTAGGAAAAGCTTGTCATCTTTTACGCCGATGCATTCAGTATTTCTGTCGAAGTATCGAACTCTGTGCCGAATACTTGAGAGGCTTTTATGGTCTGTCTGTCGTAAGTACCCCTCAATCTCTTTCTTCCCAGAATAAATTTTGGTTTTGACACATACCTTGACAGGCAACATCACTCCTGCTTGAGAAAAAGACGGACTACGAAGAAGAATCATCAGCCTCCGCGAATTCCATGTCAACCGATACGCTGAAAAGCCTCAACACATTTGCAAGGATGCGTCTCGAGGAAATCGTGGCTCGACGTTCGTCAGATCATCACTTATGGGAGTACGGTCAAGCTGAGCTTATAGCCGTGAAGGAGCTTCTCGATCGCTACAATCGCGCTAGCGATTGAATGCAACCTAGCATAT